GTGGACGGTCTCCTCTAGGCGGAGTCACCGTTGTGTCGTATTCTTTCCATTTTTAATAATAAATTTAATGTCGCTCTGCGGGATGATCAAAGTTTGAGATATATATATATATATATATATTTTTAATACCCAAACCCTGATGGTTACTTTTCCAGAACTTGTTTTGATCTCTCTTTGGACTTCATGATGCCGTGTGTTTAGGTGTGTTCTCTAACAAACACTGGGTTCTTCCACGAGCAGGTGTGTTTATCATCTGAGACACTTTGATGACACAGAGCTCCACTCCATTCAGCTAATCATGTCACTTCTGATAGATCTTTTTTAAAGAATTCACACTAAGGAGGCGTGAATATTTATGCAATCCGAATTTTTACATTTTTATTTGTAAATACTTTACCGATTTTTACCCAACACTTCAATATTATGGGATGTTTTGTGTAGATTCGTGATATAAAATCCCAATGAAGTCCATTTTAGTTCCAGGTTGTAACTCTACAAAATGTGGAAAAGCTGAAGGAAGGGCTCGGCGATACGATACTCCAATATCGACATCATGATAAATTGTGTCACGATATGAATTTTTTTTTCTCCTGAGATATTGTGCTCTCTTTATTACGGTTTATAATTTTTATTTTATTTTTTATTTACATTTATTCATTTAGCGGACGCTTTTATCCAAAGCAACTTACAAATGAGGAATGTGATCTTATGTGATGTGATATTTTTTTGTCATATCGCTCACCTCCTAGTTTAAGGTGGAGGGGGCGAATACTTTTGCAAAACGCAGAAATGTCACAGTTGACAAGGTGAGCAGGAAGACAGCGTTTAGCTCGGCGCTAGAAACCGAATCGTTACCTGATTTCTCGGACAGAGGGAAGAGACGAGCGAGGAAAAGCTGAATCCTCCCACAGAACACTGTATTCTGGGATTTGGAGAGTCTGCGCAGGAGATCTGAGCACACACACACACACACACACACCTCGTTTCGTACATGTATACACCCTACACACAGTTGTGCACTGAAAGTGCGTCACTACATCAGTAACAGTGCAGCGTTTTATTTTACACTCAGCTCTTACCGTTACACATCCTCAACAAGTAGTTCTTCCCTGCTGAGTAGAAGGAACTCTGCACACACAGAAACCAACAAACAACACGTTAATGTGGAAATCAGCCTCCTCAGTGTGGCTACATCACACACACACACACACACACACACACACGGATTAGCACAAGGACGAACTCACGGATTTCCACGTAGAGACGTTCTCCTCGACAAACGAGAAGATTCGGTCACACTGATCCAGAGGGAGACAGTCGAGAACGTCACCGAGCAACAGGAACGGAGTGCTGGCTGAGCAGATACCTACACACACACACACACACACACACACACACAGAGAGTACATACACACACACACACACACACAGAGTACATAACACACACAGAGTACATAACACACACAGAGTACATAACACACAGACACAATAAAACCTCACGATAATCGCTGTTTAAAGGCAAACGTGTATGTACATATCAATATCTATAGATAGTTTGCAAAAGTTTGCATCCCCTCATAGTTTTTTTTTTTAGGGGGAAAACGTATCACTATTTTATGATTTGTCTACAACAATCCAAAACTTAAGAACAAAACAAGAAGATATTAGTTTAAAAAGGATCAAAAAAGAAATAACAGGGTTAAACCAAGTGTTTTATTCCTTTTACACCACAGCAATTTGCCAACAATTACAATCTATACTTATTAAAGAATGTTATACTTTTTTTTAATAACTTTATAGTTCCGTGAAACAAGTTAGTTCCTGTTGTCACTTACGTTATAGTAGCTATAAACAGTCGTTCCCTCTCTCTTTAAGTTAATAAGAACGAAAAAACGCAGCTTGTCCATCAAAGCGTAAACTCCTCTGTCCTGAAGATGTCAGAAAACTTAAAGTTACAGCTTCACCTCTGACACTGGAGACTCCTTCCATACATGATAAATAAACATCTCCTGAATAAAATCTGCTTATTAGGTTTAGTTTATGTGGCGCGTTCGCTGTACACGTCCCTGTGAATGAGCTGTTGCTATAGAAACGATAACGTATTAGAACGAGAGCATTAATATAAACCTGCACTACTGTCAGAGCTGCTGTTATAGAAAACTAATCAACACCTTCTGACCAATCAGAGACCAGAATCCAGAACTCATAGTGTGAGAAATGACGTGTTTGTTCTCACCCTCAGTGACACCGCTGATGCTGATGGAGATGAGAGAGAGATGATCCTCCACATCTGCGTGCTTCAGCTGCAGAAGAGAGAGAAAAATAAATAAAAGAAACACTTTATTAAGCTTTATTAAACCTTCAGTATTCAAAATAAAGCAAATTACATCATAATCTTTTGTAACTCCAGTGAAAAACTAATAAAACATTTGGGGAAAATAAACACTGATTTATACTCATAGTAGTGCACAATATATTGAAATTATCAAAATAACGCAAATGTAAATTTGTTGTAAAGGGCTTGCGATGACTGAATGATGATTTTAATACTTCAAAAAGTTACGAAAAGTCAGAGTTTTCGGGCGAAGCAGATAAAAGAGGATGCTTTCTTTTCCTCCAAAGAACATGAAACATGTATGTTGGTTATGTCATTTTCAGTTTTTAAATATATAAACATATATAGAAATATAATTTAAATTGATTTTACACACTTATAGCATTATCATTGAACCATATATCGCTTTATTTAGTAAGTTATCACAGATCGCATTTTCTCCAAAAGCGTGCAGCCCTAGCTTACAATCAAAGTGCAAGAAAAACAGATAAAACTCACGATCTGTTCCTCCAGAACGCCGCGCAGAGACTGGTCCAGAGTGCTCTTCTTCTCCGTCTCACTGGGAATAAAATGAAGAATGATATTATTCCTAATTCATATCCATACATGAAACAGTCTCACATTAAAAACACTCTGTAAGGGATGAAAACCTCTCCTATCTGATAGAGAGAAGGGTTTTTAAGGGTCCTAGGTGTAACATTTCAGAGTGTTTTTATCTGTCTAACATCAGTACGAATCAATAACGACATACTTTCCAGGGAAATGGTTAAAAACACTCATCAGTGGTTTTGAGGTTCGAGTCTCCAGCGCATTTCTGGTGGCAGCCTGCAGACAGAAACATGTTCATTTATTCATCTCCAGCTGATTAAAGGAGACCAGGCATCTCCAAATCACTTCATTCACCCTAACTGTGTATATGTTTAATGTTAAAACAGATGTTTGAGTGTATTTGTGTGTTAAATAGCAGAAGTATGTTCAGTACAGGTGCATTAGAGGAATGAGAAACATTAAACTTAACACACTTTAAGCATTTATAACACATTAATCATTTATAACACACAATAACACACACAATTACACACTTATTCTTCTGTTTAGCTCATCAGCTCGTTAACAAACCCAATAATAATTTAAAAGAAATAAAATCTGAAGTGTATTGAGACTTCTCTCTCTTGGCTCATGGTTCTGTTGGGAATATAAATATTACATAAATAAATAAATAAATAAATCTCACTGAGATTACACACTGATCTTAAACTTCCAACATCAGCACATAATTCATCTAAACTCTTTTTAAAAATAATAATAATAATAACAACTCAAAAACAGTTCTTTATTCAGTTACCGTGAATTTATCTCTCGCTTCTATCAGATTGAACACAGCCGGCGCCATCTTTCTTCTCTCTTGTCGCCTAAGCGCCTTCGCTGTTTTACTTCCGGATGCTTGTTTTTTCACTTCCGGTTTATGTGTTGAAAAGAGAAAATGGCGCCGATCGACCAGCAGAGGCTGATGTAGAGCTGCAGAAACCTCACCATGTTCAACACATTTAACTCTTTTTTAAAATTAATTTTATTATCAAATTAATCCACAAAACTGTTTTAGTGTGATTTTAAACCTTCAAGGATTCAATCTGTGTTGAATAATAAATGGTTTAATGTGTTTTAATGCCTGAGAAACGACAAAAAACATGAAAACAAACAAAACAAATTAAAAAAGATTTGAGCATCTCTACAACTTTGACCTCATAAAAAAGGAAGAATACATTAATAAACACAAGCACATTGCATAAAGTACTGAGAATGAATAGAATTTTTAAAAACAGATACTTAAAAACATATCTTTGAACACATTTAAATTCCAGGATGAAATATTTTTTAACAATAATAATAATAATAATAATAATAATAATAATAATAATAACTTTAAATACTTTATTTTTAAACATTAAAAAGGCAAAAGAAAATAGAAACAGAAGTTCATCGCATAAAACAAAGTATATAAGCATGCACCAGAAACAGTTAATAATAAAATACAATTCAATAATAATAACTATTATATTAATAATAATTTTAAAAAGTCATCAGGTAAAAGCTCTCCTAAAGAAATAAGTTCTGAGAGAAGATTTAAACACACTAAAAGCCTGAGCTTCTCTGAGAGCAGAAGGTAGCGAGTTTCAGAGATTTGGAGCAGAAGAAGAAAACGTCCCATCACCTGTAATACGCAAACGAGTCTGAGGAACAGTTAAAAGAGCAGAATGAATATTTTTGATGAAGTGTAAAAGCTCTCTCTCTCGCTCTCTCGCTCACACTCCAAATGTCACACGGTGTGTTTAAGTGCCAGATCAATACAGAGCAGGACTCACATTTGACATTTGTTCTTGTCTTTTGAATTTTATACGCTTTATTCATGTGATACATTTCACTCAAGGCCACTTTACACACATCATCCATGCCTTAGGAAGCAGACCATGATGTACTGTGGTAAGGAAAATCCCAAGAGAAGATGGCTGATCAGTGATCACCACTTATCCTAAACAGGGTCCCAACCCATCACAGAGCACAATCACAAACTCATACAGAGAATTTGGAAATGCCAATCAGCCTACAGCACATGTCTTTGGACTGAGGGAGGAAACCCCCAAAGCACTGGGAGAACATGCAAACAGGACAGAGGAGGGATTTGAACCCTCAACCCCAGAGGTGTGAGACAAATATGCTAACCACTATGCCACCATGTCCCCATCAATAAAATAAAAATAAACACAGCACAAAGTAAAAAGCAGGAAAAATCTGCCTGTAACAAAACCTGGAACACACATTGTTCTAGTTTATAAGGAGTAATAATGAAATGTCTTGCTGGAGGTTATCAGTAGCTTAACCGGAAGGAGAAGGGTTAGTTCAGGAGAATGAGAATGAGTATGTAGGCTTGAGGACTGCAGTATGATGAGCACTACAGTGTGGATAATATGATCACTTCTACACATTATTTAGTGCACTGCATGTTCAATCCATGCCTCTATAGAAGTGTGTCGTGTGTGTGGTCACTTATACGTATGTAGTTCAGAGAGCTAAATCCCTTCTATTAGACATGTAGTGGACTAAACACAGTATTCATGTAATTCTAATGGCTGCTGCTCTGTGTTTAATGCACTATATGCTCACATTTACTCTACTACCAATAGAGGTGCACTACACAGGATGTAAAAATGATATGCTCTCTCTATATATATATATGTATGTATGTATACATGGAGCTGAATCACGAATTAGGAACTAGAAACTGTTACTTTACACACTATCTAGTGCACTTCTATAAGCCCTTAGGGAACTGAATCACATATGTAGTATTCCAAACCCTATGTACTGCACTTCAGAGGTTCTTAAATTAGACTTAAATTAAATTCAGTGCACAAGGGTCTGAAAGAGCTCAGTGTTTCAGGATCCAGCTCGAGAGTTTTATTCAGTTTTTAATCTTCCAGCATTGTAATGTGCATAATGGCTTATAATCATTATATAAATAATTTATTCATTCATGAGCCAATAGAAAAAAAACCCCACAAAGACAGAGGACACACATAATGTAGCATGTCATGATGAGTTGCCAAATTTCCATTTATGAAGAGAGAATGCACTGTGTGTGTGTTTGTGTGTGTGTGAATGGTAAGGAGGAATGTGTCCTCATTTCTCCGCTTCAGTGTGCTGTACACTAATAAACACTGACACACACTTTATCCATGAGTGTATGCAGTGTATCATCCAATAACTCACACAGTTTTACTGCAGTGAAAACCATAACACATCACGCACACACTCTCAGACACTTTTAAAAAGTGTTAAACATAGTTTAAGTTTGATCTTTGTCATGTTCTTCATCATTTTTAACCTTCAAAGAAAAAAATCAACCCTGAACATGTTGCATGTAATCTTTATAATTAAAATGTGATCTTCAACGGTGTCCAAGAAATTCTCACTCTTTTAGTTTAACCCTCTTTCATAGACATGTTGGTCTGTTTTCACTTAAAAGTTTCCTACATTACCCACAATGCCATTCGACTACCTGCTGACAGTGGAGCAGTGGGATTTAGCCCTCGCTTCATCTCTACCTAAAATGATGCAGCGGGACTTTAGTCCTTTAGTCTGTCCAGTGTCATAATATAAGATCCTCAAGGTTCGTTTTAGAAATTTTTTGAAGGATCAGGTGCATTTTTAACACAAATTCCCCTTACTAAAAAAACGTTTCAATTTAATTGAACACTATTTTTAACTAAAGAATGAATAAAAGGGTTCTATTGAATGCTGAGCTTCTTTTTTTTTTATAATAATACAAGCCTGACTTTAGACTCTGTAACAGTTAGAACGTCTCTCAGTCATGTGACTGTAAGTTAGAGAAGAGTTTTGTCCCTCAGCAAGACAGAAACACACACACACACACACAGACACTTTGGTTAAACACTTATTCTGCAACACTGTGGTCAGGATGAGCTGAAACAGCATCGCAAACTTACAGCACACCACCACGACAGGCTCAAACAATAATAATAATAATAATAATCATCATCATCATATTAATACAATATGTAATTAAGTATATAATAAATAATAATATAATAAATAATTACAGCAGAAGCTAGTAGTGAACCTTTATAGACATTAGGCTTCAGCTTCACATGCTGTACCTTCTGTGGGCGGAGCCTTAGGATGAGAAAATGGGTGTGGCCTACATTCACTACAGAGCCAAAAGCCTTTATATAATGACAGTAACAATGTGAAAAACCTTCAGAGTCGGGGACGTTAGTCCAAAAGTTCCTCCGGTATTTCCATGAGGAAAGTTCCTGGTATTCAGAGTCGGGTTACGCAGCTGCTTGTGGATTTTCTGAGCTCCACATTCAGATTATTAAAGAATTATTAAAGAATATTAATTCATGAATAGTGTCATATCTTTGTATTTAATATTGTCCTTGAATGGCATTCCATAGTGAGTGTATTTACAGCCAGAACATACATTTCAGCGTGGTTATATTGTGGTTACATCAAACTGTGCGACAGTGACGCTGGATTTAACACTGCTCCTCACTCGAGCCGATATCACGCAAGAAACATGCGCTTATGTTCAAGATCAGAATCGTGTGTAACCGAGACACGCCTCTGCTTTACTCAAACTCCGCCTCCATGTGTGTAACTCTCACACAACTTCTAAATAGCGCTTAAGTGTGTAGTTACGACTGAGGTCTGAATACTGACGTGTGCAATTTCAGTATTAAATCCTCACTGTGTGATTGACGCTACACTGAATACAACCCACAATGCACTGCATGTCTAATGCAGGGTGTTTAAGGGAGCGTGATAACAAGGGATTAGTAAATACGTCTATTCTCAATGACTATGTAGTGAATAACTTTAAGTGTGTGTGTGTGATTTGAGACACAGCCCTAGTGTATATAAAGTGTATATAAAGGGATTTTAAAAATAAATGACCAAGAACAAGAACCTCTCAAAGTCAGTAATACAAAATCAATCAATCTCTCTCTCTCTCTCTCTCTCTCTCTCTCTCTCTCTCTCCCCGTGTGTGTGTGTGTGTGTGTGTTATGCGGCGTCAGCATGAAACAGAGGAAAGTGAGCCTAACTGAAGTTTTGGGTGTTGCTGAGTGTGACGCTTACACAAGCAGAATTTGAGTGACACATTCTTCTTACATCCTTCCTCACGCAACACAACTAACACACACACACATACACACACACACACACTGTTGGCTATAGTATAACACACTGATGTCTAGAAACACAATGGAGCGCACTTACAGACTTTCTACAGAACAATGGCTATCACAGCTTTCCATAACCCATCACTCAAACACGGTGTGACCAGTTCACGATTAAATGTGCTTCCTCTGTTCGAAACACACACTCACACGCGCACACACACACACACACACACACACAGAGTTTCTTATGTCAGAAGAGCATCTCTCGAACCTGGGTTTGGTGTTTACAACAATGCGAGTGTGGACATTTGCCACACACTTTTTCACACACATTTCCCATGAATCGTTCTTTTGCAGGGAACAGGAAGGTGTGCAAAAGGACACTCCACACACACACACACACACACACTCTGTTGGCTATAGTGTAACACACTAATGTCTAGGTATACGATGGAGCTTTCCATAAACCATCACTCAAACACAGTGTGAACAGTTTACGATTAAATGTGCTTCCTCTGTTCTCACACACACACACACACACAATAACTAAAATGCAATAACTATGAATCATAACGCTTCTATTGTTTCCACTCCAAACAGCATGTCTCCAGATGTTTATTCCTTTTAAACCACAGCAATCTGACAATTATTACAATTTTTATTACTTAAAGAACAATATGTTGTATTTTTTATCCATTTATAGTTACATGTAATGCTGAGGAATGTCTGCAAAACAAATTTGGTCTGGTTAACAGGTCAAAATGGCTGCTGTTGGGGGGCTCCTCTTTTAGCTAAAGCACAATCAACCTGTTGCTAGGCAACGTCACAGACTGATTTGCATATTCATTTATTCGTCATGATCGTTGGCACATCAAATTACAAATTAGTGCACATGAAGAATGAAGATTTTCTGAAGACACTTAGAAGATAAAACAGAACAGAGTTTTATCAGAAAAATAATAGATTATAAGTTATTTCGTAGAGAAAGAAGTCCTCTTTGGTCATCGCAGCGCAAACTAACCTTTTAAGCATTTACAAAACACTGAATCCTCCATCAAGAACGCGGACGAAATGAAGTAGCGATGATGAAGGAGTCATGAAATAGACACAGAAACCCTGCGTCAAGCTTTCAAACCTGGTGTTTGGTGGAGAATGCTGATGTTTGGTGGAGAATGCTGATGTTTGGTGGAGAATGCTGATGTTTGATGGTGTTTGGTGGAGAATGTTGATGTGTGATGGAGAATGCTGATGTTTGGTGGAGAATGCTGATGTTTGATGGTGTTTGGTGGAGAATGCTGATGTTTGGTGGAGAATGCTGATGTTTGATGGTGTTTGGTGGAGAATGCTAATGTTTTTAAGTGTTTGGTAGAGAATGCTGATATCTGTTGTTTTTTTTGCTGGAGAATGCTGGTGTTTGTTGGTGTTTGGTAGAGAATGCTGATGTTTGTTGTTGCTTGTTGCTTTTTTGTGTTACTGATCATGTTTGATGGAGAATGCTGATGTTTGATGGTGTTTGGTGAAGAACGTAGATGTGTGATGGAGAATGCTGATGTTTTTAAGTGTTTGGTGGAGAATGATGAGGTTTGTTGTTGCTTGTTGCTTTTTTGTGAGACTGATCATGTTTGGTGGAGAATGCTGATGTTTGTTGGTGTTTGGTGGAGAATGCTGATGTTTGTTGGTGTTTGGTGGAGAATGTTGATGTTTGAAAGAAAATGCTGATGTTTGTTGGTGTTTGGTGGAGAATGTTTATGTATGTTGGTGTTTGGTGGATAATGCTGATGTTTGTTGTTGCTTGTTGCTTTTTTGTGTTACTGATCATGTTTGATGGAGAATGCTGATGTTTGTTGGTGTTTGGTGGAGAACATTGATGTGTGATGGAGAATGCTGATGTCTGTTGGTGTTTGGTGGAGAACATAGATGTGTGATGGAGAATGCTGATGTTTTTAAGTGTTTGGTGGAGAATGATGAGGTTTGTTGTTGCTTGTTGCTTTTTTGTGAGACTGATCATGTTTGGTGGAGAATGCTGATGTTTGTTG